ACAAGACTAGGAAGGGGCATGTGTGCTAGGAATGCTCAAACCATCCTTCTTCTTGATGCCAATTGAAACAGGAGAGACCTTGGAGTTAAGGTTTATGGTGTAAGTCATAAAAGGAAGAGAGCATCCTTGAATATAGGTAGCTGGGAAGATGATGAGTGGCCTCTCCAACGTATTATTAATTATTATCCACCGGCTACTTAGGCAGAAGATGGTACTTATGGATATAGAGCCCCAATATATATGCTTAATCGTATTATAAGACTACAGGCGGTGGTTGAGATTATCACTAATGAGACAGCACAGGCGCTCAATCTCCTAGCTAAACATAACACCCGAATGAGATCAGCCATCTATCAAAATAGATTAGCTCCTGACTATTTATTAGCATTAGAGAGAGGTGTATGCGGGAAGTTTAATCTACGTAACTGTTGTCTGCACAAAGATGATGAAGGGCAGGCAGTGGCTGAACTTACCAGTCACATGGTTAAACTTGCGCATATACCTACTCAGGTCTGGAGTGGGTATAACCCAAGTAGTTGGTTTGGAAGTTGGTATGAGGGATTAAGGAGGAGGAGTAGTATTTATTATATTCATGTGTTTCTTTCTGCCCTGCTTAATTCCATTAGTGGTCAGGTCCATACGAAGTGTTATAGACAGCACTATTGAGAGGAAGACAGCTGCCCATGTAATGGCTGTCTGTAAATATGAACCTCTAGCCCAAAGAGAGCATATTCAGGATGGGGAATGCTAAAAGAATATGCTAAGGATGCTTACGAGGTCTGTTCTGGCTCATGGCTACTTGAGAGGTGTTGGCAAACTATGATTGGTGATGCATCTGGAATTATTTTAAATCAGAAGCATCAAAAGGGGGAATGTGATGGAATTCCAGTAAAATAAAAGTTTAGCAGGCCAAGATTGCCACAAGGCATATGTAGGTACATGTGTTTGTAGTATCAGTTAGTTAGTTACACGAAGCTAAGATACTGTCATCACTGCACTGAGCATGTGCAGGAATGCAGGAACTGGAATTATGCGTCCCTCTCCTTTGTTTCAGATGAGCCACGTGGTTAGACCGGATGGATGAGTTTAGACTCTATTCATTGATTAGGTTAAGGGTATGTGTGGGCGTAGCTAATTATGGGAGGAGCTACAGTGCTATATAAGGAATGTACTAAATGTATTCAGTGCTCAGAATTTTGGGACAGGAGTTCATCTGAGACCCGATCGGTAATGTGAATAAAGGCCTCTTACTTCCTGAATACCTGTGTCCATCTCTCTGTGTTTGGCTTCTGCACACTTACACGGTTACAATAATAATTACCGATCGGTAATGTGAATAAAGGCCTCTTACTTCATGAATACCTGTGTCCATCTCTCTGTGTTTGGCTTCTGCACACTTACACGGTTACAATAAAAAAAATGTCGCTCTGTATAATAATACTGAGTATCTATACGCTGATAATAAACATGTTGCGCTGTATAATACTGAGTATCTATACACTGATAAACATGTCACTCTGTATAATAATACAGAGTATCTATATGCTGATAATAAGCATGTCGCTTTGTTTAATAATACTGAGTTTCTATACACTGATAATAAACATATCGCTCTGTATAATAATACTGAGTATCTATACTCTAATAAACATGTCACTCTGTATAATAATACTGAGTATCTATACGCTGATAATAAACATGTTGCGCTGTATAATACTGAGTATCTATACACTGATAAACATGTCACTCTGTATAATAATACTGAGTATCTATACACTGATAATAAACATGTCGCTCTGCATAATAATACAGAGTATCAATACACTGTATTATTATGCAGAGCGACATGTTTATTATCAGTGTATTGATACTCTGTATTATTATGCAGAGCGACATGTTTATTATCAGCGTATAGGTAGTCCGTATTATTATACAGAGCGACATGTTTATTATCAGTGTATAGATACTCTGTATTATTATGCAGAGCGACCTGTTTATTATCAGAGTATCTATAATATCTATACACTGATAAACATGTCACTCTGTATAATAATACTGAGTATCTATACACTGATAATAAACATGTCGCTCTGCATAATAATACAGAGTATCAATACACTGTATTATTATGCAGAGCGACATGTTTATTATCAGTGTATTGATACTCTGTATTATTATGCAGAGCGACATGTTTATTATCAGCGTATAGGTAGTCCGTATTATTATACAGAGCGACATGTTTATTATCAGTGTATAGATACTCTGTATTATTATGCAGAGCGACCTGTTTATTATCAGAGTATCTATACACTGATAATAAACATGTCGCTCTGTATAATACGGAATACCTATACGCTGATAGTATTATTATACAGAGCAACATGTTTATCGAGTATCTATACCCTGATAATTAACATGTCGCTCTGTATAATAACCCGGAGTATCTATACGCTGATAATAAGCATGTTGCTCTGTATAATAATACAGAGTATCTATACTCTTATAATAAGCATGACGCTCTGTATAATAATACTGAGTATCTATACACTAATAAACATGTCGCTCGGTATAATAATACGGAGAATATATACACTGATAATACACGTGTCTCTCTGTATAACACCGAGTATCTATACACTAATAATAAACATGTCTCTTTGTATAATAATACTGAGTATCTATACACTGATAATAAACATGTAGCTCTGTATAATAATACTGAGTATCTATACGCTGATAATAAACATGTTGCGCTGTATAACACTGAGTATCTATACGCTGATAATAAGCATGTCGCTCTATATAATAATAATAATAATAATAATAATAATAATAAGGATGTATACGCTGATAATAAACATGTTGCTCTGTATAATAATACTGAGTATCTATACGCTGATAATAAACATATCACTATGTATAATAATACCGAGTATCTATACGCTGATAATAAACATGCCGCTCTGTATAATAATACAGAGTATCTATATGCTGATAATAAACATGTCGCTCTGTATAATAATACTGAGTATCTATACACTGATAATAAACACGTAGTTCTGTATAATACTGCGTATCTATACGCTGATAATAAACATGTCGCTCTATATAATAATAATAATAAGGATCTATATGCTGATAATAGACATGTCGCTCTGTATAATACGGAGTATCTATACACTGATAATAAGCATGTTGCTCTGTATAAAGATACTGAGTATCTATACGCTGATAATAAACATATTGCTTTGTATAATAATACCGAGTATCTATACACTGATAATAAACACGTAGCTCTGTATAATACTGCGTATCTATACGCTGATAATAAACACGTAGCTCTGTATAATAATACTGAGTATACGCTGATAATAAACATGTCGCTCTACATAATAATAATAATAAGGATCTATACGCTGATAATAGACATGTCGCTCTGTATAATACGGAGTATCTATACGCTGATAATAAACATGTTGCTCTGTATAAAGATACTGAGTATCTATACGCTGATAATAAACATATTGCTTTGTATAATAATACCGAGTATCTATACGCTGATAATAAACATGCCGCTCTGTATAATAATACTGAGTATCTATACGCTGATAATAAACATGTCGCTCTGTATAATAATACCGAGTATCCAGTGGTGTACACATGACCCATGGGGCCCTGGTGCGAAAATTGATCCGTGGGGCCCCCCTCCGCGCTTACTCGGCACGGGTTAGGGCCGCAACTCTTAGCGGCGGGCACCTGGCCGGAGGGGTTTGCCGGGGTGCGACCCCCCGACCGTGGTATTCACACACATTTAAAGGACCACTACAGACACCCAGATCACATCAGCTCAATGACACATCAGCTCAATGACATTCAGAGAAACGGCTATGTTTCACTGAGGGTTAATCCAGCCTCTGGTGGCTGTCTCATTGGCAGCTGCTAGAGGAGCTTCTGCGATTCTCACTGTGAAAATCACAGTGAGAAGACACTGAACGAAATGCGCGCGCGCGCCTCTTGCCGCGCATGTGCATTCGGAGCTGAGAGGCGGAGGGATCCCCAGCGCCAAGGGAGTCCGACGCTGGAGAAAGGTAAATGCTGAAGACAAACACACACACTCTCACGAACAGACGCATACACACTAGCTAACAGACACACATTTACTGACAGAGACACACTCAGCGGCAGACATACATACACACTCACTTACAAAACATACACTTTCACTGACAAACACACACTCACTAACAGACATCAAACACACTCAGTAACAGACACACACCCAATAACAGACACACTCACTAACACAAAACAAACACAAACACAAACACACACACACTAACACACACACTAACACACACACTAATACACTAACACACACTAACAAACACATTTTTTTAAAAATTTAATCCCCCTAGCCTCCTTACCTTTTGGAGTGCTGGGGGGGTTCCCTGGGGTCCAGTGGTGGTGCTGCTGGGTTCCTGGGTGGCCGGCGCGCGAGGGAGCACTCTGCTCTGAGTGCTTCCTCTTCAGCTCCCTCGCGCACCGCATAGGGATGCCGGAGCCGGAAGATGACGTCATCTTCCGGCTCCAGCATCAGTGCGATGCGCGAGGGAGCTGAAGAGGAAACACTCAGAGCAGAGTGCTCCCTCGCGCGCCCTCTCGCCTGCCTGCCGGGTGACAGCAAGGGCAGCCTCTGGGGTGCCCTGAGGTGGCCGCCTCCTGGGCCCCCCATAGGAAGAGGCTGGCCCTGTGGGTATATACCGGGTCGCAGGTAATGTCACTCTGTGTGCGACCCTGGTATGTACGGCACTGCGAGTATCTATACGCTGATAATAAACATGTCGCTCTGTATAATGATACTGAGTACCTGTTACGTTTGATCATAGCTGACTTACAATAACATACCGTCTATTAATCAGCCAGGATTTATTGATCAGAAGTCATATATTATGTTCGATCCCTTTGTTGATATACACATTCCAGTTGTAACATACACCCAGCATGGCCGAACTCCATGCACACACTGACAAGAGAGCAAATCTAGAGGGTGTATCCATCCCAGCATGCCTTGCACACTTACTACAGGAGCTGGCTAGGGAAAAACTGTGCATTGTGCAAAGCTTCCCTAGAGGGGACTGCTGGTATACACCACAGTATCCACATAATAATGTAGTCACAAGTCTGTATAATAATACTGAGTATCTCTACACTGATAATAAACATGTTGCTCTGCATAATAATACTGAGTATCTATATGCTGATAATAAACATGTCGCTCTGTATAATAATAATGAGTATCTATACACTAATAATAAACATGTCGCTCTGTATAATAATACCGAGTATCTATACGCTGATAATAACCATGTCGCTCTGTATAATAATACTGAGTATCTATACGCTGATAATAACCATGTCGCTCTATATAATAATAATAATTAGGATCTATACGCTGATAATAAACATGTCGCTCTGTATAATACTGAGTATCTATACACTAATAATAAACATGTTGCGCTGTATAATACTGAGTATCTATACACTAATAATAAACATGTTGTGCTGTATAATACTGAGCATCTATACACTGATAAATATGTCACTCTGCATAATAATACTGAGTATTTATACACTGATAATAAACATGTCGCTCTGCATAATAATACTGAGTATCTATACATAGTGATGTCGCGAACCCGAAATTTTCGGTTCGCGAACGGCGAACGCGAACTTCCGCAAATGTTCGCGAACCGGCGA